CCCATGGAAGCAGATGATGAGTTTTTCACTGTGATTTCCAGTGTCATTGCTTTCCAGGGAATTAAGCGTTGCTTTTGCCCTCCGCACTAGATGTAAAAAACTCAACTCTGTGCTGACTTTGTACCCGGGCGGTTGATGGGAGCCAGCCAACAGAAGAGGCCAGGTTGCTCTGCCCTTGTCAGTACGAACTCAGGGCTGCCAGCCACTGATTTTATCAGCAGCAACTTGATCCTGTACCTCAGGGTCAATGATTGAAAGAATGGATGACCTCTTTCCTAGTCACTCCAATAAACAAAAATCAGCAGGGATTTCTTAGAGGGATATTTTTTATGACCTACTACTAAATCAATTCATTAGTTATAGGGTGAGCGTAAATAACATTTTTAAGAATAATACTGTTCAGATGCAAAGCACCGCACTGCATGTGAAATACACTAAAGTGAGATTAGGCCTTTTCTCATTCCAAGCAGAATGATGATTAACCTATTCATTACACTGAAGTGGTGAAGTATAAATTATCTATGAGGAGTTTATTTTTCCTCATTTTGGGCTCCAGTCATTACAAATTTGGCTCTGCAGCCACAGCTGTTTCTTTTAGAAACTGAATAGCTGAGAAAAACAAGGCAAGTAGTACACAATTCTGATTTCAATTGCAAATATTTAGAAATTTAAAGAAAGCCAGCAGGTAAAAGCATTGGATATTATTCATTGCTCTAGTGAAAACTCAGTCACTCAGTAAGTTAAAGCCAAACTATCAAGGTGTCACAATCACTACAATTAAACATATTCCAGTATGTGAAAGAAAAGATGAGGATATGGGCTCAGTAGTGCAGAGCTGTCACCCCAAAGGACCCTCTGAAGAGATGAACTGAGAAGCAGCAATAATTTTTTAGTAGCACTGATGGACTCTAACTGGATTTAAACAGACTTCAGACATACTTGTTCCCCAAGTGATAAAGGTCTGTACTGAAACAATATAGCAGTAACAAGAATGAAGAAAAACGGGGGGAAAAAAAAGAACAGAAAAAAAAAAAAAAGATTGAAAAACCTGCCGTGGCAAAATGATAAGGCTCTATCTACGATGTGAGTTCAAGTTTGACATCTCAGCAGAATTTCCTTGGTGATGTTACTGTTTTATAACATTTTTTGACTGGACTATGTCAATGTGGAGAAGTATTCATGGGGAAATAATTATCACACAAATTAGAATCTAACCAGTTCCAGTACATTGTGTATTTCAGAGCCCTCAGGGCCTGACTGAGGGAGAGGCTAAGCTAACTTTTCTCTATTGGTCTTTCATTGACAGTAGTAGGACTATTCAATTCACTGTCACATAGATTCGTGCACATCTAGAGCTATACCGATTTACTCTAGCTGACCTATTATTTCAATGTCAATTTACAAACTGATTCTATTTTTTACAGGCTTGTCTACAAAAAGACCAAGCTGAGTCAGCTACTAGTGTGCATATATAGGGCTGCCATCTAAAAGACGTATATGCCCACAGCTGAGGTAATTCACATCAACCCTAAATTGTCACTTCTTGGCTATCTAGTTCTGGGTTCTGTCTGCCTTTGTAAGGAACAGATGCTTTTAATGACATTGAAAATGCTGAAATTTTGAAGAAAAAGTAGTTAATGCATCTATCTGTCATATGTAATGCTATAGGTACGGAACCTTTAACAGCACAGATCATCTTATTTTTCAGTGTGCAAAAAAAACCTCAACAAGACAATAATGTTCTGGCTGAATCCTGAATGTTACCAATTGTTTCCAATACTCAACCAGAGGCGTAGGAACGGAGATTGGGTAGAGAACAGTTTGCAAAACAAAGCCACCCTGTGCATCTGAGAATAAAATGTGCAGTTAGAACAAAAATATGAGGCCACTAAGGGGACCTATTTATTCCTCAAGAAACCATCTTCCATTGCTGATACAACCCCAAATCTAACTTCAGTCTTAGAAGATCCATCAAGGTACCTCTGACCAGTCTGCTCCAGTGTGATTTGGATCTGCATGGGTTGTCAGACATGCTTTTTGTGTAGGTACTGAATGAAGGCCACACTGGTGCGATTAACAGAATTCACTGCAGGAACACGTGGCGTTGGGCTGTTTCCATCAGAGAGCAGCCAGTGGTGTGCATCTGGAAGGCAGTCACTCTCTCCTCTTCCTTCTGCATCTCTGAATGCTTTTGCATTTTAAGCCAGTCTGGGCAGAACTTTACAACTTATTTTTGGAAGCATGTGAAAGAGCTGTTTGTCAAGCTTTTAACTTCAGATTGGTCAGCACAACTTTCTGAAAATTCATATGGCGTTCAGTCTTCATCCCGTGCCAAGCATGCGCTGCCCACAGAGGAGAGCTACACCACACTTACAGCAACTGCACTTCAACTGTCATCTTCTAGGTGGAATCTCAAATGTTTACTAATCAGACAACAAGCCTTCCACAGTTCGGTGTGGACTTAAGTCTGGCCCTCTCCCACTGCAGTGAAGGAATCAAGTGGAAGCTCTGAAGCAAGTTATTGTGTGCCCATGACACACTGCAGCCATTCATCAAGCAAAGACTTTCAAAGTCACATTCAAAATGGCAAATAATATCAGGAAAGACCTTTAAGAACAAAAGCGTAAGAATATAGAAGATATTTTACAGCTTTGCCATATTTTAAACATACGCTGAGCCAGTGTATATTGTGCTAGGTTGTGTGAAGAAACATTCTGTGCTCCATCAGTTACTAGTGTTGGGTAAATCAAGTCTAGAATGAAGAGCTCAGAATAAATATATGTATATGCAATTCAAACAGAACATATTAATTACAAATGAAGTTGCAATCAAGCATTGAATTAACACACTTGATGCAAAAAACTTTTTAAAAAACAAGATGCACTTTTAAGTGGAAGAAAAATTTTTCTTCTTTCTGACATCCACCATTATTTAACAGTGTAGAGACAATGACCGACAAGAAGTATGTTCAAACTGGCATGAAGGTAGATATAAAGCAGTACAGCACAGGCCCTCAGGAGGAATATCTGTATAATACAGCAGATCCCTGATCCTGGCTCCTGCGATGTTGCAGACTCGGCAGGAACTCGGTCTCGTGTAGATGCCCATTGCGCGCTGGTACTGAGAGGCTCAACATGAGTCGGCAATGTGCAATCACAGCCCAGAAGGCCAACTGCATCCTGGGCTGCATCAGAAGAAACATGGCCAGCAGGTCAAGGGAGGTGATTCTGCCCCTCTACTCTGCTCTGGTGAGACCCCACCTGAAATACTGTGTTCTGGAGCCCCCAACATAGGAAAGACATGGAGCTGTTGGAGCGGGTCCAGAGGAGGGCTGCAAAGATGATCAGAGGGCTGGAGCACCTCTCCTATGAGAGAGTTGGGGTTGTTCAGCATGGAGAAGAGAAGGCTCCGGGGAGACCTTATAGCAGCTTTCCAGTACCTAAAGGGGGCCTACAAGGAGAGCTGGGGAAGGACTAGGGCATGTAGTGATAGGACAAGGGGGAACGGCTTTAAACTGGAAGAGAGCAGGTTTAGATTAAACATTAGGAAGAAGTTTTTCACTTTGAAGGTGGTGAGGCACTGGAACAGGTTGCCCAGAGAAGTTGTGGCAAATCCATCCCTGGAGATGTTCAAGGCCAGGCTGGACGTGGCGTTGAGCAACCTGGTCTCATGGAAGGTGTCCCTGCCTATGGCAGGGCGGTGGAACTTGATGATCTTCAAGGTCCCTTCCAACCTAAAACCACTCTATGATTCCGTTGCCCAGTTTATACTGACTCTTGCCCAGCGCCAGAGTTCACCTCGGGCTGTTGCTAGACTCTTCCCTCACGCCTGTTCCCCCATCCACAGCCCGAGCAGACAACTCAATAAAACACCGGTAAAACACTGCCAGTCCTGCCGCTGCCATTTCATCCCGGCCCTGTGCAGGTGACCGGCTCCGCCGCAGCCTGACCCCACTCCCCCCGTGGGCGCTTGGCTCCGCAGCAGAGCGCGGCCCTTTCCCCCCGGCGGGGAGCAGCCAGCGCCCTCCCCACGCGTGGGGCGCGGGTGCCCCCGAGCGGCTCCTCGGGTAAGAGCGCGCAGCTAGGACGGGGGAATGACTCAGGTCCACTGGAGCAGGCACAGCTTTCTGTGCTCCGCTCCCAAGTGACAGTTTTTAGACTATTCTTCTAATTAGCAGTATGCAGATCTATGTTGAGTCAATTCATTTTTCACAGTAGCCGAGTAATAACAGTATGTAATTGCTCATCCAGTTTCTGCTTATGCTTCTCCTCCACTTCATCATCTATTAAGACACCTCAGATTGAAGCTGGCAAAAATTAAACATTCTCACTTCAGTCCCCTTTCCCGATCCTCTCTATTCATCAACTTTATTTTTGCAGCTATTTATAGACCTGGCTGATGATGCAGTTCCAGATACAAGAATTGAAAACGTATCATCTTAAGAGACTTACGATGGGAAGTTATTGTATCGCACTTAAATTTCCAAAGGCCCCGAAGATCCACATAATTAAAAATTACCAGTAACATGGGTGAAGCTAGAAAACAGTAGTTGTCATGGATCAGAATAGTGATTCTTTTTCATTAAATGTGAAGAGAGAATTATTGATAAGAGATACCACTGCCTTTTTTTTTGTTTGAAGAATTCAACCTCTTATGAATTACTGAGTGAATGTTTGCAACACAAGTCAGAGACTTCAAACCACTCACTCTCTGACAAAGTACCACTGAGAGGAATGCCACCAACAGTGTCATGTAGTCTTAACTTGTTCTTGACTTACTCAGGGGAAAATAGAAAGGATACGCTCAGCAGCATGTCATAATCCATTTTCCAGACTTTTTTTCCCCCCCTTCTGCATTTCTAGTTAACGTGCTTATTAGTTGCACTTCTCTTTTTTAAAATCTGAACAAGTTTGCACAACTGTATAAAATTATGCATTATTAAAAATCAGAATAGGTGACACCATATTACAGTGCACTGATAGAGAGAAGAGCCTTAGAACCACAAGTCCACAAAATTTTTTATTAAAGTAACATCAAGTTTAAGAAATCAATGCAGTGCAAAGAAACTTCAACTCATCTTACAAAAAAAATAATGATTTTCAATCCTTAAGTATGGAACCTGCATTCCAATCCTGACATGACTGACATAATACAGAAACAAGCATCATCCCAGATGAACAAAGTTAAAGACTGGCATGCTGGGCAAGGAAGGTTCTTATTCTTTGCAAGAGTTCTTTCTTTACACTGTCTGGTACCAAGGCTGAAACACAAATAAGAAAGCAAAAAGTAAAGAAGACAAAATTGAAAATATGCTAACACTAAAGTTTTACAACAGCTTCTTCTATTCCTTGTTTGTTCTTGCAATTGTTAATACTTTAGTAACTGAGGCTACTTGATTTTCATATAGCACATCTACATTTTTCCCATTTAAAACAGGCTAAAATTGAAGTCTTAAGAACACTTGTTATTGGTAGATTTTGCCTAGCTACAGTCAAGAAAGTTTGAGAGAATGGATTATTTCACAGGAAACAGGATACAATCACAGAAACTAGTTTGATTATCCTACATTTTTTCTTCAAAAATCTAAGGAAAAAAAAAAATCTCAGCCAAGACCTGAGAGTAAGGGTCTTCAGCAAATTGTTTTGAAGGCCTATTTTTATTTAAGACTTAAGTTTCTCCCAAACACCTAAGCCTATTAGAGTCCAAGAAGAACTATATAAAGATGACTGCAATGTTTCTTTAAGAGATTCCATTTTTCTGTATCTCTTTGCTCTGTCCTTTCCTTTTCCCACTTCGCATTGCACTAGTACTGTTAGTTCAGATTTTCCATCTTAGAAATAATTGGAATTTTAAAACATCTGTGCCTCATGCCCCAAGTTTTCTTGAGACCATTGAGTCAATTATAAAGATGACTAGAGACTCAGGACTAAATAATGTAACCTGCAAAAGTAGCCATTCAAAATCTGTAACGAGCTGTGTGTGTAGGCTGTTACACAACACAGATTCACATGTTTTATTTGTAGTTAATATCAAGCTGTTAACATTTTTCCTTGAATTCAACACAGGCAAGTTCACAGCGCTTCTTTCAAAATATTAATGACATACAGGTAGGTATGTTTATCAAGGTACTACCACATCCATGTTTACATTTTCTTACCTCTGCCTTTGGGAGTGATTTCTGCCACCAAATCATCCACAGTAACATGCTCTAATCCTTTTTCTTTAATGACATCTGGGGAAGACCAAAACAGATATTTTAAGTCTTTTAATTCATTCATTAGAAGACAACACCTGTGCCAATGATTAAGAGACAAAACCTGCATGCATAGGTCATCAGAAAAGATGCAGCAGCTTGGGACCTAAATGTAGGTTATTAATTCAGTACTGACACTGCATTGTACAGTGGATTTAGTCTCTCATTCATACCATAGGTTTAAGGATGGGAACTGTCACTACTGACGCACCTTGATCAGCTCATATTTTAAAATCAAGTGTTACAAAGTTTAAGCTTATCTGAGCATTACCAGATGTGCATATTGTGTTGCAGCAGTTCACAAATTGGTCCGCTTGTCTCTTCAAACACATTATTTACATAATAGTGAGAAAGAGATGCAATTGAAAAAAAGACTTTGGAACATACAACAAGGGACAGCACCAAGACAATAAATACTTACTACTCTTCCTAACTGGTTTAAACAATATCTCTATATGTTTCAGCAATTAAAAAAAGCGTATCTGAAAGAAAGGTATACATCCACAGCAAAATAAAAGCTATGATTAAGATATACTGTATGATTAAAACATACTGGTATTTAAACAAATTGCTTACTTATAGTGCCTTGAAGGCTACTGAAAAATGCAGAAGTCAAAGCTGAGAAGAAACCTCAATTCAGTAGCATAAACCTAAAATATTTTGTCTAAACGTGAATGTTTCTAACTATACATCAGTACATAGGATTGATTGTCCCCAAGACACTCAGTAAGTTTTCTGAACTGACAACACATGAACTATTTGTAAACTGTTTTTCTTGGCTGAATTTCATGTAGAAATGGATCCTGGATTGCTCAATTATTGGCCCTAATCCACAATGGCAGGAGGCTCTACAACAAGCTACAAAAAGAAAAAAAACCCACCACACCCCAACAAAACATCAACAAAACCGACAAAAAAACAAACCACCAAATCCCTCTCTTCCAATAGTAAGGACAGTTATTAGGCCCTTAACAGGGACAACTGAACTTATATTTGCATTCTCAGCCACTGCAGTTAAAGTTCAAAGTACTAATGTAAACCAAACAATTTTAAATAACTTTACTGTAGCAGATTATAAAGTATATAGTTGAGAAGGCAGAAAAACATGCTTTTGCTAATTTGTACTATTGAAATAGGTAATCTCTGTCAGTGGCATAAGGCAGACAACTGCAAGCATGAATCATTTCAGCCTTCTCTGCAAATCCATCTACAAGAACAATTTAACACATTCAGCCTTATAAAAAGAAAAACTATGTAATGGAATATGGAGTTGCCAGGCACAACAGACTAAATCCAAATTAAAGAGAAAATTCAAGGGATTTCTTACTTGCTTTAAGGAAATTTCATCATGTGGTAATATTCCTGGGTGTTTAAATACTATTTATAATAGTTTCATGCAATTTACAAGTCAGTAAATTGTAGCAATGCTAAATACTTAACTCAGAACTAAGAGATTTGGGTATTTAGAGGTTCATCTGTTTGTTTTTGCCCATCTAAGTAGATGATCTTTTTTTCAAGAATTGTATTCAGAAGGAGTACAAATGCACTTCTTTCTCCCCCATACGCAGACAATGAAGTTCTCTAAAGTTTCTAAGTTGCATACCACTGTATTTCCTCCATTTTCCTTTCTCTTGTTTTTTATTCTCCTATGGTAAGGACATCTCTCTCAAAACAAAAAGTTGTATCATCATGAATATTTAGCGAACCAATTCTAATACTTTTTTTTTCCAAAAGCTTAGTAAGTTTCAGATCAGAGAAGATGTTTTTTGCCAAGATGGCAAGATGCTTTTTTTCATGCAAAATCAACTGTCTGGGATACTTTCACCTTGCCCTAGTCTCAATTAAATTGATTGTTAAGAAGTGAAGCTTTCATCTGGGACTTTTGTTTGGCCAGAACCCCAGTTGATTACAAAGGATATTAGTTATTTGACCACCATTACCTTTGCAGTGTGCTTTCAACTGATCCTTCCAGCCACATTCAATTAATTTGGCTCTCAGCAACTCTTTAAGGCTGTTGTTAAGACAATATACAAACTTGTTAGGAACAGCAAACATTCCTGACAATTTAAATATGCTTCAGTGGGAAAGTTAACCTTACAGTCACTACTCAGAGCAGAACTCCCAGACCAGCAGCAGAAATGGCTGAACAGCATGTGAATGCTAACCCAAATGAGCACCAATTTTAGCTTACCATGTTGGATTATGAAGAGTCGGCAGCTCAGGAGCTAATTGACAGTATTTGTTCAAGCAGCGTTTATGCTGCAGCCACAGAAAAGAAGCCCTTGAATCACTTGAACTGCCCAAGTCTACTCTGTTAGTAAATATATGCTAACTTTCAAAGTTAGAGTATTTCATCTGAAACCAGGCCTTCAAAATAAATAAAACGTTCCCCGCTCCTTTCTGAAAGGAGAATTCTGTACTACCATCTTCAAATGCAGGTTTCTTTTCCCAGTTACACATTACCTTGTGTTGGGTGAAGACGAAGAGATTGTATATCTTATCTTCCTAAACACGGTTAGCCATTATAAGCATAAGCAACAAGGATTCAGGCATTAAACAGAGAAGAAACACAACAATCTGCCACAATAATACATCTACTCCATACATCAAAAGAGAATACTGAAAGCTAACTAAAAAAGTGAAAATTAGTACAGGGAAATGAAAGCAAGATATGATAAAATAAGTGTTAATATCTTCATCCTTTATTCCATCAGCTAGCAAGCCTACTTATCTTACACCATTCTAAAAAACTCTAGCAAAATTCTGGTTTTATGAACGAAAGGATTGCAGCAACAGGCTGAATTGTGTAGGTCTAATCCTTTTTACTCAATCAATCATGTATAGGGCAGATGAACTTATGACAAAAAGCAGAGTATCAATACAGGTGAAATTCACTGCTTCTGGATATTTCTTAATTCAAGAAATCTGAGTGCTGTGTCTGTGATCATAGTACAGCTCTGATAAAGCTTGTTTATAATATAGCTTTTGACACCCAGTGAAAATTCTTGTTACTCTTAAATTAGAGTAAAAAAAGGTCCCAACACCACTTCAAGAAATTGCTTGCTCTGCTGAAGCTCTGTACAGTCTCCAAGGGGACGGTCACAACCAGGAAAGATGTGAAACATAGATACCGTGTCAGTCTACAAAAGGTTGCACTAGGTACAGGACTATGTGATGACCTGAGGAGAAGACTCCTTCTCATACCGGCCTTGAAAAATGAAGAGCTTTTGGTGCATGGTCTTACAAATATAGATGAGGAGGGAAATGTGATAAGCACACACGTAAGTACAATGCAAACAGAAGAGACTGAAGAGATAGCAAAAGGCCAAAAACTAGCTGCATTGTGTAATTTACTTGTTTCCCTTTATTGAGATCTCTACAATGACTTGCACAAGTGCTGGTTTATGTGTTCCACTGTGTATTTCTTCCCCTAATCAGAGAAGAAATAAGAATACAAGAAAAGCTTAGAAACAAAAAGGAAAGTTTTGTCTCATTCTCTTTGTCAGGAAATAAGAAGATTTAACTGCAAAAAATTGCATTTAATGGTGATTTTTATATGAACCAAGAGCTTTCCAACACAAACCACCAGAGCAAGAAAAAGCTTTAGAGTTCATAAGCCAACCACCCCACCCTTTATTTTCCCAGCTTTTCTTCTCAAGTGTAAAACTAAAATAAAACTGTTCAAAAGGCAAAGATGTTTTTTGTTATATAATACATGTATATACATATATAATATTTTGCCTTATATAATAGATATGACTTACACACGCATGCATTTGAAGAATTTAGAGTTAAGTTTACTTAATCTTTACTTCCAGGTACAGTTCACATTTAACAATATTTAAAGCCTCTTACTTGCACAGAGCAGGAAGCCCACTTACCGTTCTCGCTCTCCTGTTTCTATTAGCTTTTGATTAATGGTTGCTCTCATCTGGGCATCTTTATTCATTTTGGAAATCTCGGTTTCTCACAAACCTGGACAGAGCAGAACAGAGTTGTGACAAGCATCGGCGACACGAACACAACAGAAAGACGAGTCACTCGCACACAACTACATGCGGCGCCGCGCCCCTTTGCACAGCCCCGCAGGTAGTGACCGGAGCACCGGGGGACCGGCCTGCACACTGCCTTTTGTTCTGCCCTGATACAGGAGAGATACCAGCTCACGGGTTTTGTTCTTGGAAACCAGAACATGGGGGTTTTCTCTCTTTAACCCTGTTATAGGAAGCCCAGAGTTTGAATGTTAAGAAGAGCAACTGATGATTGAGTCACTTATCTTTGATGCAATCCTGTTTATTTACAAAGTCCTGATTTCTGTATCTGCAGGTAGAATCAAACAAGAGATAATTCCCTTGCTTGCAATTCCCAATCTCTTACAGTCGGCACTTGCCTCAATAGCTTTCTTCAGGTTTATCTCAAAGTCATGCTGCTGATGCTTTTGTGGCTCTTTTTCATGCTTCCCTTTGGCTTTTGATTGGAGATTCTCCCACTAACATCCAAAACAAGCATTTTGCTACCAATCAAGGTCCTAACCATCTAGGCTCCAGGGCTTATTTTCATTCCAGACTTCCCATATGTTTATGCTTTGGTTGTTCTCCCATTGTTTTGGTTATTTTGCTCCATAAATGAGCCGAATGTTTATTTGTATTTAGTACAAATGAAAAACAGTTCTTCCACTGAATGATTTCAGCAAGTTTTGGTCAATCACACTGTGATGCTTTCTTACTGTTTTGTGGATGAAGGCAACTGATGTGTGTATATGTACTGCAGGGAGAGGTGGGCAGCGGTACAGTGTTTAGGATGAATTCTTGGGTCAACATGTCTGAATGCCTCAAGTGGCCCTCTGGTTGCTGGTTGTCCCTCCATCTGTGTCCAAAAGGACTGATAGTGAGATTTGGTTTGAGAACATTACGTTTCTTAAATGAAAAATCTAGAGGTTTTGTCTGTAATGTTGTCATTGTCCTGTCCGTGTCCCGTCCCCGTCCCCCCCGTCCCCCCCCGGCCAGCCTCATGTGGCTTCACGGTGGACTAGGGTCTCTGACTGCTGTCAAATCCCTACCTTACAGCTGTGTGCCCCTGTGAGTTTGAACCTAGTTTCTAAATGGGTAAGAAAATCTGTGTGCTGAATCTGGGCTTGGCTCGTGCACATGCGGTGAGGCCAGGTGACCAGCTGAGGTAGTTGAAAGCAGTAGTTATATCTGAGTGTGATGGAGTACGTGCAATTTAGAGAAATGTCTATGAAATTAGTATCTTCTACAAATTTCAGCAAATTTGCTGTTTTTCTTTCTTGCTCTGCCAACAGTTTAGAGGTGGCTTTTCAGGCTATGCATTCCATGTTCTGCTTTTTCTGCTAAGCGTTATTAATATTTGAGATTCTTGTCCATTAATGGGCTAAAGCAACAAGAAGAACATTAGGATAAAGTTACGTTGGGTATGTACTTACAACCTTAGCCATGCCACCTGAAATCTCTCAGCATTCTACCTTTATTGATTTGTGAAATTTAGGTCTTTTGTAAGGTGTATGAATTAGTTTCCTTTTTTTATAAAGCTGAGACAGCAATACACAGTTTGGATGGGCTGATCATAGAATCATAGAATGGTTTTGGTTGGAAGGAACCTTGAAGATCATCGAGTTCCAACCCCCCTGCCATGGGCAGGGACACCTCCCACTAGACCAGGTTGCCCAAGGCCACGTCCAGCCTGGCCTTGAACACCTCCAGGGATGGGGCCTCAACAACCTCTCTGGGCAACCTGTGCCAGTGCCTTACCGCCCTTAAAGTGAAAAACTTCTTCCTAATATCTAATCTAAATCTACCCTCTTCCAGTTTATAGCCATTCCCCCTCATCCTGTCACTACATGACCTAGGAAAAAGTCCTTCCCCAGCTCTCCTTTAGGTACTGGAAGGCCGCAATAAGATCTCCCCGGAGCCTTCTCTTCTCCAGGCTGAACAGCCCCAACTCTCTCAGCCTCTTCTCATAGGAGAGGTGCTCCAGCCCTTGGATCATCCTCATGGCTCTCCTCTGGACATGCTTCATAGAATCATAGAATGGTTTAGGTTGAAAAGGACCTAGCTCTATGTATTTATTGAACAATATACCTATCTACAGAGTTATCCATTATGTGTTACTTTAGTTTTGTGTTGAATACATTGTATTAGTAGTGGATCAGAAAGGTGTGTTTGCCATGGTGAATTGTCAGCAGTGAGATGGAAGTTGTATGTAAATTGTGTATTGAAGGACAAGTAAGTGAGATTGAGGTGATACTGTATGTGTATCTGTGATAGGACTGGAAAATTTAATGAGAGTAACATTTTTTTAATGTATGTTGACATTTTTACTGTAAAACTGAATTAGGTATCACCTTTCAAAAGACAGTCCAAATGTAAGTGAGTGTACTACAGCTGTGTCAAAGATGGTAACAGATAGTGTAGCATAGGTACCTTCTCTTAGTTTGTCCTTTATTTGATGTTCTGCCTGTGGTCAAACTAGCTATGTGGTTCTTGGATAGTCACCTATTCTAAATAGATGAGGATTACAGATTTTCATTAAAATAATTGAATGATGGAGTTGCTAAAGGAGAGATGGACCTTGTCAGTTCTTGTCCATTCAGATATTTTACCTAATATATACAGGAGCTTGTGTGATTTATATGTGTGCCTGTGTTCTTTTCTTTCTCCACACAGCACAAAGACCCTGACTCATTGCAGTCTAACTTGTCTGTCCTACTAAAACATTAATACAAAGTCACTGACTCTGTTCTCTGTGTGTGTGTATGTGTATATATATACATATAGATACTGGTCCACTGGGGAGTGGAAAGCTTTGTTGTTGTTCTTTAAAATTAGTAACACGGGATATAAGCCAAACCAGGCCCTGTATCTATCTTCTGGATGTTTTGTTTGTCCGTATTTCAGGCTCCTCTTAGGCCTTACAGCTGTCTGTCTCCTTTCTGGTTTTCTTCTGCTTATTTCAAGGCAATTTCTTCACTGTACAGAGATATTCTGTACCTAAACTTTGTATTTCCTGGTGTCAGTTGTCTATATATGCATTAAACTGAGGGCATCCTTCCATAACTTGAATTTTATGTTGCACAGGAATAATAGGTTGAGTTATAGAGACCATGGATGGTGTGTAGACCATGGCTTTTTCAAATCACTGCATGAGAGAAGAAATTAATATGAGAAGGCCAAAGACTTCTGCTTTCCAGCACATTTGTGAGCAGATTAAAAGTCTCAAGGACTTGATAGTTTGTGGGTTGTTAAATTAATATTTGTCACTGAGCAAAGAGTTTGATTTTATTTCCTAGAAGTGGGAGTGAGTAAAGTACAACAGCTGAAAAAAAGGTCAAATGTTAAGGAACACTGCCAGCATGACTAATTTCTGATTTTATTCACAACTATGTGCAAAAATGTAGTAGAATCTGGAAGATTAATGTTAAAAGGCTGTTGAATTTTGTGTTTGTTTTCCAGGAAACTGTTTCAGGGGTGCTTGTCTCAAGTGATCTGGGATTTGGAGTTCTGCCTGTGTGGCATCCCAAATTTCATAGCAGTAAGATGAATATGGGAGGCTTAGAGTACATGGAATACGTGACAGTAAATAGAAATAGGTACTCATTCTTAAGTAGAACTGAGTTAACTCGTTTGTAGTTGAAGCATTTATGCAGTGTTATTACAAACTTGTGTATTAAGCATTAGACCATTAGTCTTGTTGACATTTTCATCTATGTTTTTACATTTATCTATTTTTATGAATTTCACTGCTAGCTGTAAAATAAAATGACAAAAAAAATTGACACATGGAATTGATACAGGCCTCTATTACTGGAGCAACTGGATAGCAGCACATGGTGTTGCAAGGCAACTTGTGGTGGTTGTCAGGCTCATGTGGACTACAATGAGCTTCATTTTCTGACCATTGTGTAAAACTTAGTATTCAGTTCTAATTTGCTTTTAACTGTCAAACTGTGGTTGCCAGGAATTTGCTGTGGGCAGATGTGCAGCTGAAGCAGAAAGAAATTTAAAACATTTATTTATTAGATCTGTGGTAGAGGGGAATTTTCTAGTGAATTTCTTAAATATATGGTGACAGTGAAGAATGGTGAAATTGTGGTATCTTATGTTCCCTTTTAAATACTCTGATTTGCATGTTCTTCTTTTATTTCCCCCTTACTCCTACCTGTTCTGTCCTAGTTAATCTCAACTTTCACAGTCATTTCTCTTTTCTCATCCTGGTAACATGTATTGGACTGTTATACCTGTTATACCTTTAATTCACAACTCTTCATCCTAAATTTTGTCTGGTTTTCTTCTTATTTTCCTTAGTTTATTTTCATAGCTTATTTTTTTCAAATGGTTCCTTTGCATTGAGCTTTGTAACGCCTTTCTTTTAGATTACTGAACCTTTGTGAGGGACAAAAGAGCATCTCATTTACTGTCACCTCCTCTGCCCTGATCTGATCTCAGCAGAGCCCAAAGAAGTGGTTGGGGGGCAAATCCTCGTCTCCAACAAGGACCATGTCTAAGATGCATGACATTTTTAAGGGAATGAGAACCTTGCTCTTGACTTGCACTGGTCAGGTGTAACTTTATTCCTCTTTTTTCCCAGAGGCCTGGAATTTGTTCAAATGTGGGTATCCGTTATGCCTTTCTCTCTCGCTTTCCTGTTTGGCAGAACCATATGATGGGTGTGTATGCCTTTAGATATAATAACAACTGAAAGGCATAGTAAACATTCACTGTAATGTGGAGATCCTGTTGCAAGCCAGGAGGATATGCAGAGAATGCATTCCTTTGATCACATGCATTTACCTTTTTGTATCACTTTTGGGGGGAAAATTGTGTTAATAAATGACTGCCGTATTTGCAGCCTGTTTAGACTAGAAGGTGTGTACTTCAGTGAAAAGTAGTTGCCCGTTGACTGTACTTCAGTAAAAAGTAGTTGTACATTAGTAATGCTACATGGAAAATGTGTTTCTTG